ATAGCTGGAATTTAGGGGAAATACATACAGGAACAGATTTAGATATAAACTGTGGTAGTAAAGCAACAATCATAACTTGTATAGCAATCAGTGGTGGATCCAGATTTTTTTTAGAAGGGAGATGGGGATGGGGATAGTCTCGCTTAATTTTACGGTTTTACAAGCAGTTTGATAATGGGGCCCGGACCATATTCTGCCAAAATTCAATGAGAATATTTAAATAAATCCTAGATAAGGGGGGACCGGGCCCCTTGTTCCCCCTCTTAACCTGCCTCTGGCAATACACACACTTTTATTGATACATAATGTTCCTGTAAATTTTCGTAGGCAAGGTGTGTTCGATTTGATCCTTTCATATTTGTATATAAAAAAGATACACTTATCACACACAGTTCTTAAATACGAAGCATGTATGTTCCTGATCTTATAAAAGCAATGCCTATTTAGTGTTTTAACTATATATCATCAATATTTGGTTCATATTTTACATCTGTTTAGTTTTAATTGAGGTCGGGACTAAAACATTATTTTATACAAATCTGCCCGATACGTATACGTCGATCCGTGCACGTATATAGATACGTGAATAATGCAAATGCTCTATTACGACGACGACGACAACGACGACGCCGACGACGCCAATGTCATACCAATATACGACCGCAAATCGTATAAAAATTGTGCTCATTGTCAAATAAACAGATCTAAAGTGAACCGATCTAGTTTAAAACAATTGTGAACGGGGTCTAACTCTATGGATTTGCATGAAATTGTACGACAAGTTCGCATACTACACAAGGAAGATTAGGGTCGATTTTAGGTTTATGGCCTCAACCATTAAGGAATAAGGAGCCAAAAACAAGACTTTTATAATACTTTGTGCAAATTGCTTTAATAATCACCCTCGCTATTCTCATTCGAATAGTTTCTTAGGTTCTTTGCGATACGGAATCTAATCGTGTTTTTAGATTTTTGATATTGGACCATGTTTTCAGGTTGGACCAAATCGGGGTCCAAAATTAAACTTTGTTGAATTCATAAAAAAAAAGGAATTCGTGGGGTTCTTTGATATGCAAAATCTAAAAGTGCATTTGGATTTTCAATTTTTAGGCCTCGTTTTCAAATTGGTCTACATTTTTTTCCAAAGGGTCCAAAATTAAAATTACTTTGAAATTGAATTTAACAAACAATTAATTCTTGAGGTTCTTTGATATCCTAAATCTAAACATGTATTTAGATTTTTTTATTTTGAGTCTAATTTTTAAATTGTCAGAAAGTTTTTGTTTGATTTCAACAAAAAATGAATTTATTGGGTATTTTGATATGCTGGATTTAGCTTTTGAATTTTGGGCTCGTTATCAAATTGGTCTACATTGAGGTCCAAAGGGTCCAAATTTAACTTTGCTTGATTGCGGTGTCAAATATTTAATCACAATCCTCATTCAGAACTGTATCAAACGCGAATGTTTTGTTTATACTTGCATCGTCAAGCTGCGACCTACAGAGCATTTTATTTTAAAAAAGCACGTGTTGGCCAAGCCCCACTTTTTAATACACTTCACGATGGACAACTAGGGATGTATTGGACACCCTCAACACCCTCAACACCACATAAAATCAGCTCAAAATAATGATTCATTTACTCTTGCTTAATGAAGAGGAGTAATTTAGTGGTCTGTCCATGCATCAATCCGCTGTCATGGGCAATTTCATTTGAATCAGCAAAGAAATTTAAAGAAAACCTTAGAATTCACTTTATTTTATAATGATCTTCATAAAAATATGTTAACCCCTTTATTATTATGCCAACTTCGATAATGCTGAAAAAAGGTTTGGAAAGTCTCGATTCGCTTCTGTGCATTCCTGTCAAAATGTGTTATCAAATAATGTTATGAGCCTTCAATTTAGGTTACAGTATATAATATTGAGATTCATCATGCTTTTATGAAATAGATCTAGGAATTTAAACTTAATTGTGTGTATAACACATCACTATGTTATCGCATAATGTTATATGAATATAATGTAATCTGTGGTATGATCCAGGACGAATGATGCTGTATAAAGCATAGAACTCGTAACGGTAAGACAATTCATATATTTTATCAAACAGTATGTCAGCTCTTAACGTTTAGGTTCCAATTGTGGATCAAAACGTCGTATATACCCCGGCAGTTTCCTGAATATATACTGACATCTCTGTGTTTTTTATCCAATCACAAAACTCGACACATTTGTAATCCGTAATATAAATACATATCCAAATTGGAAATGTATGTCAACTCGTAACGTTATGTGAATACATATATATTATTAATTCAAAACGTTATGTGAATACATATCTAAATTGGAAATGTTTGTTTAAGGAATGACTGTAATATTTTTTCTGTCTATAAAGAAATAACATAAACAATATGGTGCACTCTGAATAACCCGCGTAGCGGGTTATTTAAAAGTGTGCATCACATTTTTTATGTTATTTCGAATATAAAAAATATTAAAGTCATTTCTTATAATTTAATTCTAAAAAGGAGTAAATCATGATAAAAACGTTGATGACGTCGCGGTCACATGACAAAATTTTGTCTATGAGCTGATAGACAAAACACTTTCAACCAATCAGAAGACGTGTTACATCCAAAATTAAATTATCAACTCATAATGCTATAACTTATACGAATACATATCTTAATTGCAAATGTATGTCAACTCAAAACGTTATATGAATACATTTATATTATAAATTCAAAACGTTATGTGAATACATATCTCAATTGGAAATGTTTGTCAACTCATAAAGTTATAACTTATACATATACATATCTCAATTGGAAATGTATGTCAACTCATAACGTTATATGAATACATGTCTACTTATAATGTTCTATGAATACATGTCTACTCCTAACGTTATGTGAATACATATCTAAATGAAAAATGTATGTCAACTCATAACGTTATATGAATATATGTCTCCTTATAATGTTATATGAATACATGTCTACTCATAACGTTATATGAATACATGTCTGCATGAATTGCAGGTGTATGCAAACTCATAACGTTATGGAAGTATCTGCTAGTAATCTAGAAAAAATGCGAATCCATATCTACATTGCAATTTTCTATAACTCAAAACGCTATTTCAACACTCAATTCTGCCACTGCAAGTTGAAAGCATAATGTAAGTTGAAAATATAATGTGTTCTAAATGTTACTGCAAAAATACTAAGACCATTTATCCGTAATACTGAAAAATGAGGAAAACAATATTTTCAAATTGTGCACCAAACATTATCTTTTAATCTTAAAAACCTTTGCCAAAGTTTCCTAAAATTATATGAAGCTTGTGACATGGAATTCGAAAATGAGTAGAACAAGAATAAATATCTGTGACTGTTATTTAAAAAATATTGTGTCGGATCAGTCGCTTTCAGGTCACATGACTGTTGTACTTAGTTTTTTTTTCAGATAAAGTGTAATCGCTCATTGTGTCGGATCAGTCGCTTTCATATCATCTGACCGTAGTTATACTGGTTTTTCAGAAAGAGTGCCATCACCCAATACTTGTCGAACATGACTACTAATATGCTTATAAATCTCTAACAGCCATGCAAACAAGGCAACCAATTACCAAGGTTCTTATCGTTAGACGGAAGAGGTACATCTAGGCGTACTACATAAATCAGCTACACTATATTATGGCGATTGTAAAGGTTATCGCTCGAAAGGTCTTACTGTAAGACGGAAGAAAGTACACGATAAGCATATCACATACGGAAGAAGTACATGATAAGCATATCACTTACGGAAGAAGTACATGATAAGCATATCACTTACGGAAGAAGTACATATATGTATAAGGGTATCATATAAACCAGCTACCCTTTTTGGTTAGAGGTTTAAAAAGTTATTGTTTTAAAATATTATTAATGTTGAAATATTTATATATAATTTAGCTTTTTAACATACTGTAGAAATAGATGGAACAAGGCAATCGCTATACATTTTAAAGGCACATTTTATCAAGTAAATGCTTATTATTTCCTTTTTGTTACTTTGACATCTACAAAAGAAACCACGAAAAAAGTATTCGTGTCCTCTGTTGATTTTTCAAATTCTTTTTATAAAAAAATCGTTTTGATAAATAATTTCTTTTCACATACTATATTTAATGTTTATCTTCATCTATGAGACACATATATGCAATGTACATACATTAAACAAAACAGGGATACAAGGGATATGCATCCTATAGGCAACGTTTCATTTGTGTAGATAGAATATAACATTAACGGGACCAATTTACCTGCATCAGATGCGCATTTCGACTAGTAATGTCTATTCAGTGATGCTCGTGGACAACATATTTTGGACAAAGAATCGAAGCTATGCATGAGGCTGAAATATAGGCCTTAATTTAAAATGGTTCTCTCAGCAAGATGTATCATGAGTCACAAATTTCAATAAAGCAATATCCATATTTCAATGCCAGTACCGAAGTAATGGGGACAAACAGTCCACCAACAAGGGTATCGACTTGTTGTGTTATAAGCATTAATGATCGATTCAAACTATGTGAGTGAATTTTTGTTGATTTTAGCAATCGCCAGAAACTTTACATAGTTTACTTTCATTTTATTTATAAACAATGCACATACTGAATCACCACATACCTGCTGAAGGGTTTTGTTTAAGTAAAACCGCACCTAGTCTTTCTTTGTCACCGCAGATATAGTGATAGAACGAGTAAAATACCAATTGAACCTTTTTTAAAACGAATAGCGTTAGTATTTTGTAGATTGGAACTATTGGCTATAGTTGTCTTATTGGCAATCATACCACATCTCCAAATGTTACTTATATTCATAGTATCTTTAATGAAGATGGCGTCTTTTTTCTGTTTTATAGTATACATACCTTTTCATCCATTTGCATTTTTACTTTATGAAATATGAAAGGCAAAAACGCTTAATGGCCACCACAATAATAAAACTTACGAGAGTTTTGTTTGTTGGTACCCTTTTTTAGCTCGAAATAAATCATTGGGACACTCAGACTGAATCGATGGCCCTTTCTTGTCATAATTTTCAGATGGTTTCACTCCAAGCGGTGCAACTTTTGCAAATTGTATTTTCTTCATTGCGTTAACGTGTTCAAACGTCTTCTACTTATAGGTAGCCATAGAGATTTTATTATAACGTCAAACCATTGTTCACAGAACTCTCGATAAAATCCTACGCTTTTTGAAGAAGAATTGAAATTTGGCACTTTGACTACTATTGAGGCGGGGGTGGTTTGGGGGGTGGGGGTCAAGCGATAGATATCTTTCACAATTGAGCTTTTAGATTTTACCGGCATCGCAAGCAAACGAGGGTATATGTCCAGTAATTGGTCTACTCTGTCTGTCCTTCATTCCGTCTAGTTATTTACCAGTCTCATCAATAACTTCAACAGGTTTTCTTCAATCATATTATAACTTTGCACAGAGATTGAAAATTTGATTTGCACCTCCTATTTGAACAGTTTTTAATGATTTTTTCGGAGTTTCTCATGTGTGGAACTTAGTTATGTTTGTCATTAAATGATTTAGGCTGTACATTTATATATAAAAAATATGTATGGTACATGATTGCTAATGAGTTATATAATTACATTAGATGTATGTTTCATTATAATACGTTATTCTGATTGGCTAACTGCAATCTCGCGTTATTCCTTAATCAACTTCATTACACAATGAAATTTATCATTCATGATGACACGAGGTCCCACAATACAGTGCACAGGTAAATTAAATAAAAACTTGATAAAAATCGTGTTTTCATGATCCTAGCTAAAAAATGTAATTATAAGTATTGAATGCTTCTTTTTGTAACTTCATAGGGGTGTAAAAACGTTGACCGTGCGCACATTTTAGAATGAAGCGCTTCGGCACAAAATGTACTTCGGTCAACGCTTTTACACCCCAATGAAGTTACAAAAAGAAGATTCAATTCTTAAATGCTGTACCATATTTGTGTCATCTGTGAGCCAACAGTTTTTCTGGACACATCAATATTCATGTAACTTCATAATCCTATTATTATTATTATTATTATTATTATTATTATTATTATTATTATTATTATTATTATTTATTTATTTATTTATTTATTTATTTATTTATTATTATTATTATTATTATTATTATCATTATTATTATTATTATTATTATTATTATTATTATTATTTATTTTTTTATTTTCATCATTATTGTTAGTATTATTTAGTATAGCAGGAGCTGCTTACCCAGTCGACGTACCCAAATCAAATCATATTAAAAGCTTTATTTACAGTCTATGCATCATATATATAAACAGTCAAAAGTGTTTCATCAATCAGAAATTCCCTTATTATTTCGAATGATATAAAAGCACATTTTTCATAAAAATTCTACTACAGATATTTCTTGTCCAAATTGAATGATTTTTTTTCAGTAAATACTGTACAGAAATGTCTGCAGTTTGTTGCAATAAATTATGATTTTATATTTTTAGGAAAATCACTGTTTAAAGACAAATATGAATTTCTGCATGAAAAAAAATCATATGGCTATAATAGGAATTAACTAGAGACTCTAAAGAGCGTTGTCGCTCACCTAGTTCTATGTGTTGATCTTGTATTGCTGATCCTATTGTCGGTTTAGTTTCTCTCTATCTTCTTTCGTTATTGCTCAAAACACAAAAGAGGGTAAAAAAAAATCCTCATATAACGGCAATCACTCCTATAAAGAGTATATATCGGTAAAATTTGACTTGTTTGAAGATCTTGACTTGCTGATCATTTTTGTTATTCAAAGTTTCTATTGACTATTATAAATTTTATCATGTAAGGCAAAACGCATAAAAAATGATAAAAATCGTTATTAAAGGGCAATAACTCCAATAAGGAGTCGTCGGACGATTTCCTCCATAGTGTCTTTATTGAAGATCTTGTCTTGCTGATTATTTTTGCTTAATGTAGTTTCTATCTATCTATTATAATTTTTCAGATATAAGGCAAAAACGCAAACAATTGGTTAAAATCGTCTCGTGAAGAATGTGATATATTAATTATCATTGTTAACAGTATAAGTGAAATGTATAATGAGAGAAACAACTATAATGTCAATACATGAACTGTGTGTGATTCATGACTAATATCTTAATATATATAATCAAGATATTTGAAATGATAACTTTATAGAGGAGGCATGTTGTCAAAAATTGTATTGTTATAAATATTAACATTTTTTTCCAATGCTACATGTATGTATTGTTTTCTGTCTATCGTATTGTTATTTATTTGTTTTTCTTTAGTAACAATCCTATTGTTTGGATTTTTAACTAATATCATTCTTATTCTTATTCGTATTCTTATTCTTATTCATCAAAGGGCAATAACTCTAATGAGGAGTCGACGGACGATTTCCTCCATTTTGTCTTAGTTGAAGATCTTGATTTTGCTAATTTAAGTTTCTATCTATCTATTATAAATTTTAAGATATAAGGCAAAAACGCAAAAATATGGTTAAAATCGTCATCAAAGGGCAATAACTTTAATAAGGACTCGACTGGCGATTTCGACTATTCAGACTTATTTGTAGAAATTGTCTTGCTGATTATGATTGCAATTTAAAGTTTCTCTGTATCTATTATAGTTTTCAAGATAATAGAAAAAAAAATGAAAAAAAATGGTAAAACTTGTCTTTTAAGGGCAATAACTCCTAGAAGAAGTAGTCTGACAGTTTTGACAGAAATGGATATTTGGTAGAGCTCAACTTTTGAACATTTCTGCTTTGTCAGATTTTCTCTATTTATAACGGTTTTCAAAATAGTAGACAAAACTTGCATTTTACCCCTATGTTATATTTTTAGCCATGTCGGCCTTTTTGGCTGGCAGACGGGGTCATCGGACACATTTTTAAAACTAGATACCCTAATGATGATTATGGCCAAGTTTGGTTTAAATTGGTCTAGTAGTTCCAGAGGAGAAGATTTTTGTAAAAGTTAACAGACGACGACGACGGACGACAGACGACGGACGACGGATGACGGATACCAAGTGATGAGAAAAGCTCACTTGGCCCTTTTGGCTTATTGAGCTAAAAATTGATGATAATCACTCTTAAAAGACAAGACAAGAAGGATCAGTCGTCTGACGATTTCGACCACGTTGACTTATTGTAGATCTTGTCTTGTTGATCATTTTTGGTATATAAAGTTTCTCTCTATCTGTCATAGTTTTTTTCAGATATTAGGCAAACATAAAAAAAAATCGGTAAAATTCGTCATTTTAGGGCAATATTGCCTATAAGAAATCGTCTGACAGTTTTGAAGTAAATACTTTTTACAGTAATAATTTTCAATTGACCATACTTCCAAATCAATCTATATTAGAAATTTTTTGCATGACAGTTGTGACAACGGTTATAAATTGTAAATACTTTTCTGTTGTGGACAGTTGGAACAAAGTAGAGCTTAAAGATAAAAGGTACAAATTTTACAACACTTTGGTGAACTTTGATTTATGGGACAAACTTGGGAAACAGGTACTTATTTGGTAGAATGCATATGTCTAAAAATGCTTCTGACTTACATTCTGATACATTTTCGACATTCTTTTTACTTTGTAATCTTAAAATAATTTAAATATACATGTATTATAAAAGACTTTCTTTTGTAAATCCAAAATAAACTTTGGAATATAGAGTTGCTCCTTATCTGTCAATTTGTTTTTCTTTAATTTCAATCTAATTAAATTTGGTAACATGGATGTTATGCCTTGTTTATGTAGAGATTCTGAAACTAGAGGCTCTAAAGAGCCTGCATGTGTCGCTCACCTTTGTCTATGTGCATATTCAACAAAGGACACTCTCCAACATTGTAGACGAAAATATAATTCATGACAAAAATCTGTTTTGTTGATTTTGTATTGCTGATCATTTAGTCTGTTAAGTCTTTAGTTTTTGCTCAAAACACAAAAGAGGGTAAGCAAGATCCTCATTTCAGCGCAGTCACTCCTATAAAGAGTGACAGTCTTCTAACTATATCGCCAAAAATTGACTTATTAGTAGATCTTGCCTTGCTGATCATTTTTGTGATTTAAAGTGTCTATTTATCTATTATAATTTTATCATATAAGGCAAAACGCAAAAAAAAAAATCGTAAAAATCGTCATTAATCGCCGATTTCCTCCATATTATCTTACTTATAGATCTTGTCTTGGTGATCATTTTTGCTTATTTATCATAATTTTTATGATATGAGGCAAAAACGCAAAAAAGGTAAAAATCGTCATCAAAGAGCAATACATTTATGTAACTCTATAATAAGGAGTCGACTGACGACTTCGACCGTGGGACTTATTTGTGGAACTTGTCTTGCTGATAATTTTTGCATTTTAAAGTTTCTCTCTATCTTTTATAGTTTTCAAGATAACAGGCAAAAATGAAAAAAATGGTAAAATTTGTCATTTAAGGGCAATAACTCCTAAAAGAAGTCGTTTGAAAGTTTTGACGTATATGGACAATTGGTAGAGCTCAACATTCCGAAAATTTTTGCACCTGTCAGATTTTCTCTATTCATAACGGTTTTCAAAATAATTGACAAAACTTGCATTTTACCCTAAGCTTATGTTCTATTTTTAGCCATGTCGGCCATCTTGGTTGGCAGGCGGGGTCATCGTACACATTTTTAAACCCCAATGATGATTGTGACTAAGTTTGGTTAAATTTGGCCCAGAAGTTTCAGAGGAGAAGATTTTTGTAAAAGTTAACAGACGACGACGGACGACTGACACCAAGTGATGAGAAAAACTCATTTGGACCTTTGGACCAGGTGAGCTAAAAATGACATTTAATTTCAATATTTGTAGTAGTTATGACATTTTATAAAAATATTTCAAAATAACCATAAAAAACTGTACACATTTATGAGCTTAACATACAAAATTTCATCAAAATTGGACCTCTAATTAGTTTTTGACAATGTTTTTAAAACATGGAGTTTTATATGAAATAATAAGGTCAATAAGGGATAGGTGAAACACTTTTGACCTAAGACTGTACAAAACAGTACAACATATATAAGCTCATCAGAACTTTTAAACCCGATAATCTCGGTGTATTTGAATTTCACGCGAATCCTTCAGGTTTTCCTTTTTTTTTAAATAAAATTCTAAATGGATTTACAAGATTAAATTAATCTCACCAACGAATCATCCATGAATAAAAAAGGTGTTCCTTCCTTGGAAAATTATTCATACAGAAGTAGAAGACGAATCTTCTTTTATCTGGAGGTGCATTATGTAAATGATATAAGCGGCAAGTGGGATGAAGCAGACGCATTTGAAAATTGTTGTGTTGTTTGCATGTTTTTGCACGTGTTATCTTGAAGAACAATGCAATGCCAAAGAGGATAGTTGTAACAGTGCCAAGGAAAAGTCATGTGGCTGTTCAATTAGTCGTGACAAATCTAAATATGCCGAAAAAACAAACATAAACGTGGACAGTGATGACGAAGGTCTACAAAATGAACTTTTGCAAAAAGTGGAATTTAAGTACCCAAGGACTAATGAGATGGTCTTTATTGAAGGTGGAACATTCAATATGGGCACAAATAAACCAATTTTTGTTGCAGATGGAGAAGGTCCAGAAAGACTAGTTAAAGTTAACCCTTTCTACCTTGACAAATATGAAGTTAGCAATGGGGAGTTTGAAATATTTGTGACTAAGACAAATTATAAAACAGAGGTAAGGGAGGAGAATTATACAGTAGTACAGTGAATTATAAGTCAAAAGGAATCCTAACTTATCTTAAATGGCCAATTATGTTCAATAGAAGACTTTAAAATTCATGCATGTTCCCATACATTTCAGATGTCACAATACACCGTATCACTATTTGACAGCCATTACTGGACATCACACAGGTTAGCGTAGAATTTTGACGTCACAATAGAAAATATCTGAACAGGGAAAAAACTTAACGGTCGCCCAGTCACCCATGGCGACCAGAAATTGACCTGGGCAATCTTTTTATTCAGTTGTGGTAGCCCAGGTGGCGAATTGAAAACAAAGTACTCGACACACGGAAATCCGCTATTTACCTTGGCTCCAAGTGCCGGCCACTTCACTGACAAAAATATAAATTCAAAAAGAAAAGAAAAATCTTTTTAAAACAAAAGTCGCGGTCGCGATAAACAAGGATGTAAAATCAGTGTTTACCTTTGACTAAATATAGTTCTCGTTAATTCAGGTCACTGATTGGTCGTCTATTCATAGTCTGGAAAGTATCGTATGTTTGCAAGGATAACAAGAGAGACGTTCCGATGGTCATTTACAATATGCGATCAAATACCCTGTTCGGTTTTGGCTTCAAGAAAGCGAAGAAATTCAGAGAAGATGACAATAGCATGTTATGAAATAATATCAGTCAAATAAAAGAACGTATAATATATAATGTTGTTCAAGAATCTGGAAAACAGTACCTTGGCTTTTGTAGTTCCCTTTTCAAAGCCCACGTGGTGTCCAGAGAATGAAGGTCAAAAACGAAAGTAGAATATTGTCGACCACAAATAAATAACATTAGTTCAAAATGATTTTAGTTTCCTACTTACTGAACAGTTTACAAAAAAGAGAAAATCAGAGGAGATATCAATTTTATGACTGATTTTGAAATACGTGTACAAGTCTTTTGAGAAAAAAGGGGGTCATTTGTTTACAAATGTACATAGTTACACAAAATAAATCGATCAGGATATTTAATAAATTAGATTATTAAAGAAATAAAATTAAATATTTCATCAATCATCTATACATGTATTTAAGGACAGAGAATTCTTTAGTTGTCTTAAAAAGATATTAAAAAAAAACTGGTACACAGGGCATGAAGATTCCCATTTTGTAAATGATTTTTTTTTTATAAAATTTGATTGAAGTCAACAAAAATAAGACAAAATTTACATTTTCCCAAGCATCTAAATCACCTCCAGGTATGCTCAGAATACAGGGTTTTGAGTCTAAAATTTCAAAATTTTCTTCAGGGGGCATGCCCCCAAACCCCCCTAGCAAGTTCAGCCCGTTTCGTGGGCTTCACCGGTGATACTCATAGTGAAATAAAGTGGGCTACTAACTTTTTGTCTGGGCTAACTGATTTTCAAGTCTAGTAGCCCAGCTGGCTACTGGCCTTACAAAGTTAAGTTTCACCCCTGCTGAAGCCACAATGGAAAAGTGATTGTTGTATGACGTCAAAAGTTCAAGAGGCGCAGATTCTCTGGTCAACCAACGCAGATTTCCAAATAGCGATAAGGTGTATGCCTATATGTTATCATGTCAAAGTAAGAGTCGATTGTACATTGATGTCATTTAATCCAATTGATCTCTGGTCCATCAGCATATTTTATTCTTAAAAAGAACTCACGAAAGGCCTTGTCCAGATAACCTTTTTCTTAATTTTCCATCTTTTCAAAACTTGGAATCTTAGTCACTTTTCAGCAAAATTTAAAAAATTGGCCGTCCTACCATTTGAAAATTTTAATTTCCTTTCTTGGTATAGATTCATTTGTAATTCATTTCTGTAAACATTTACTGCTACATTGTATTTTCAGCTCTTAAGATCATGGTTGCCTACTACATGAATGATTCAGTTTTTAAATTGTGGAACAACCTGTATAAAGATAAATTAAATTTAATGTTACCTATTGAGACTATGCCTTTATGGAAGACATGTTCCCTTTTGATTATAATGATTTATGGACTTGAAGAGTTAAAATATGAGAATATAAAACATATCTTATGATAAGGTTTGTTTTATTGGATCTTTGACAAAGTTTTAAAATAATGTTAATAAAGTTTGGTTTTATAAAGACAATTATGTCTATTTTGTTGTTAACAATTTTAAGATTTGTCGTTCCATACTTATTGGACTCTGTAGAAGGTTTTCAAATGTCCTTCTGTCCATGTGTCCATCTATCTGCTGATCCAACACATGAAGTTTGTCACATTTTTCTTATGAACTAAAGACCAGAGCCATGAATCAGAGATTCTTTAAAGTTTTAAGTGAGCATGCTTTACTACAAAATGTATCATAACTGTGTGATAAGTTTTTGGCCCATCAACTTATTATATTCACAGTACATCTTGTTTAAAGTGTGTTTTTGAGAAAAGTCCAGTATTTTTTTTTAACCAGTTTTCTTAGAGTTTTAAAGAAAATACATCTTTTCATATGTTTATATTGTATATTTTTGAGTTCTGGAATATTGTTATTGTGGTTTTGTTTCTTTAATGAATATTTTGTGTCACATGATGATGCATTTTTATAACTATGATCCTGTAAAATAAAATGAAATTGTAGAACACTTTTATTTGTTTTTCTATATTTAGGCTGAAAAGTTTGGTAATTCCTTTATAATGGATAAATATGTGAGTGAAGAAACATTAAAAAAAGTAAATCAACAGGTAAGCACAAGATAGAACACCAACAAGCTGAACAATAGTTGTGAATCAAAAAGAAAATGTCTTCTACAAAATAAATTGCCTTGGTAGTCTCATGACATGCTTGACTCAATAAGAGAAGTTCGTGGGTTTGATCCCAAGCCAGGTCAAACTTAATTGACTTAAAAAAGCAATTTGCTGCTTCTATGATAAGCATGTAGTACAAATGTATTAAGGAGTGTGAGCAAACAGTTTTCTAGGAGACAGAATAATATGTGATGGTAGGGTAACATGTCTTCAAGCAGACTGTTACCTTGTGAACTTGCAAGCACATTCAAAATTTGTAGTTTTAGTTCAGCACAAAGCAGCAGAATCCATATAAAAATAAGGAGATGTGGTATGATTGCCAATGAGACAACTATACACCAAAATTCAAATAAAGTGAATGTAAGCAATTATACTATAGGCAACCATATGGACATATTCATTTCACATTATCATGTTTTTGTCCTTGTATGCATGTTATTATTATATTTTCCACTGGACATTAAACACCAATGCATCTTTTTATATGTAAAATAAGTTCTGTTAATCCTATCAATAAAATGAAAGAAATTGCAAAAAATTAGTGATGTATATTTTTTATTATTGGAAAAAAATCTGAAAATCATGTTCTTTATAACAAAAAACTCTTATATATGAATTCCACATTTACCATGTTTACATGATGTAAATGCAACATAAAAGTGTGCTTTAAATGGAAATCAACTTTCATTCATTTTACATGTAAACAAATCTTTACACTTCAGGTTGAAGCAGCTCCATGGTGGATTCCTGTAGATGGGGCAGATTGGAAACACCCTGAAGGACATGACTCATCTATCAAAAATAGGTAGAAATGAAGACAAATGTTTGTTTTTTTCTCCAAAAATAGGATTTTTCTTTCACAAGTAAATGCAAAACTAAAGGATATTTTGGTGCAGTCATTATTAAAATAATGAGATGTGATATCATTTCCAGTGAGACAGCTCTCCATAGAGGGAAGTATAAAGATGTGAACCATTACAGGTCAACATAAAACCTTTACCATACTGCCATAAAGTATAATATCAAAGGCCCAAGTATGTCTTATGTGAAATAATTCAAATAAAAAAAAATGAGACCACTTGATATTGACATATAATTGAAAATTTAGCATCAGCTGTTTTTTTTTTTATACATATATACATTAACAAAATAATAGGTAGTTCTATGTTATCAGAACAAGGAGGTTAAAAGTTTTGAAAAGTGGAGTCATTAAATATTATAGATGGGTTAATAAATTAAATCTGGTGTGATTAAGATGATGGAATTTTATGATGTTTAGGTTTAACAATATGTGGAAATAATCATTGGTGATAAAAAACTATAATTATGCTTATACATTTTTAGAGTAGTCTGAATAGCGATACAGTATCACATTCTTTGAACATACATGTATACTGTAATTTACAAATTGGTATTTCATCCTGTTTACACAATAATTGGTGCCTATCATTACTTTTGGGTGTAGAAAAAAAAATCCTGAAATGTGAATTCAATGTTGGAAGAGGATAAAAAAAGACAGTTAATGAGTTTATATAGTGAAGCTTACTTGCTTCTTTTATTTCCCCCGCGACACGTTACGGGGACATCGAAATAACAGGCATCCGTCTGTCTTTCTGTTCGTCCGTCTGTCGGTCCAACCAGTCTTGTTAGCGCTATCAAATGAACAATATTTGCATGATTTTTATAAAACTTATATCATAGGTTTATATCAGCAATGTCTTGGACGAGTTCCAAAATCAGTGCAGATCAATTATTTTTAAAAGAGTTATGCCCCTTAGAAACATTAATTACATGGAAAATTGCATTGTTAGCGCTCTCATTTGTACAATTCTTGCCAGATTTTTATGAAACTTATATCATAGGTTTATATCAGCAATGTGTTGGACAAGTTCGAAAATCAGTGCCAATAAAAAGAATTTAAAAGAGTACTGCCCCTTGGAAATATTGATTATGAGGAAAATTGCATTTTTAATGCTTTCATGTGTACAATTCTTGGAAATATTAATTACAACGAAGCTCTGAAGCCATCATTTCTCTAAGATATTTGTTTAAATGAAAAAAATAAGTGGTTTTTTTTTAGTTATTGCCCTTGTACCTTGGATAGGGGACCTTGGAACTCTTTTATCTTATATATGTACCACTAAATACTGTCTTTTGCATGAGTACATTATTAGAAATTTTGTAAGATATAAGACTACAAAGAGAGATCTTGATATATTATTCAACCATTAATTGCAAGACATTTTGTATATTACAAGTGGTTTCATTTACCATCAGAACTTTGCATTTGTAACAGTACTTTTAGTAAAATGAAACATTTTTTGTACATGTATAAGTCTTTTCTAGTTGGCAGAGATGTTTGATTCAACAGATTTGCCAGTCTTAGGGAGAAAGGTGTCATTTGATTTAGCTTGTAGACCACACAACTGTTTAAATTTATACATGTATTCTATTTCAAGTCTTAAGTGTTCTTAGCTGATCAGAATGTTGACAAAGGATGATTAGATTGATCATACTGGTGACTCATTATCTCAAAGTACATTTTACTTACAAAAATAATTTTATATAGGTACATGTACTGTAAATTGTTTTTATAAGTGCGAATAATGTTACTGGGTGAGTATCGTATCGCAATAATAACACCTTGCATTCTGATATCTGATGCACATATCTGTATGCAGACTTTCCTGAGATACAAACAATAATTATTCTCACATTATTGTATTATTCATTTTTAGCTCACCTGGCCCTAAGACTTTAACTTTTACAAAAATCTTCTCCTCTGAAACTACGGGGCCAAAGTTAACCAAACTTGGCCACAATCATCACTGGGGTATCTAGTTTAAAAAATGTGTACGATGACCCTGCCTGCCAACCAAGATGGCTGACATGGCTAAAAATAGAACATATGGGTAAAATGCAAGTTTTGTCTATTATTTTGAAAATCGTTATGAATAGAGAAAATCTGACTAAGCTGAAATGTTCAGCATGATGAGTTCTACCAATTGTCCATATACGTCAAAACTGTCAAAAGACTTCTAATAGAAGTTTTTGCCCTTAAATGACAAATTATACTATTTTTTTCAATTTTGCCTATCATCTTGAAAACTATAATAGATAAAAAGAAACTTTAGATTGCAAAACTGATCAGCAAGACAAGTTCTACAAATAAGTCGACATGGTCAAAATTGTCAGTTGACTTCTTATTAGAGTTATTGCCCTTTGATGATGATTTTTACCATTTTTTTGCATTTTGCCCTATGTCTTAAAAATTATAATAGATAAATAGAAACTTAAATGACCAAAAATTATCAGTAAAACAAGATCTACAATTAAACCAATATTGAGGAAATCTTCCACCGACTCCTTATTTGAGTTATTGCCCTTTATTGACGATTTTTACCATTTTTGGGGGTTTTGCCTTGTATGATAAAAATTATAATACTGATGAATAGACACTTTAAATCACAAAAATGATCAGCAAGGCAAGATCTTCTGACAAGTCAAATTTTGCCGATATAATTAGTAGACTGTCACCCTTTTTATGAGTGATTGCCCTTAAATGAAGATTTTTTTTTACCCTCTTTTGTGTTTTGAGCAAAAACTAAAGAAGGTAGAGAGAAACTTAACAGACTTAATGATCAGCAATACATGATCAACAAAACACAGATTTTTGTCATGAATTCTATTCTCGACTCGAATGTTGGAGAGTGTCCTTTGTTGAATATGCACATTACCAAGGTGAGCGACACAGGCTCTTTATAGCCTCTAGTTAAGAAATGACAACAATAATTGCATGCAATAATTTCTGAATTTACAGTAACTGGAATCTTGAGATATCAGGAGTAAATATGATGCAATTCTATCAATTGGAATAGACATTTTACTTTGAGATATCCAGAATTTTGAGATAAGATATTTTAAGTTAGCAAGTCAGCTGTATATATATGTTTAGGGATCAAAATTTCTTGAATAGCAAAAACATTAATGTCTAATGAAAAAAATCAAGAGAAGGAAAAGTATTATCCTACTTTTTTTTTCAGAATGGATCATCCAGTTATTCATGTTTCATGGAATGATGCTGTTGAGTATTGTAAATGGGCAGAGAAAAGACTTCCAACAGAGGCAGAGTTTGAGTATGCCTGTAGGGGTGGTAAAAACAACAGGTTAATAACTTTGACATTGTAGAAGTGAAAGCATGCCAAATTAATGATCTGGGTCTGTGTTAACAATCGACACAAAAGTATTAAAAGGCTATGGTTTAAAAAAATGTCCCTTCACTTTACTAATCCTCATTACCTATACAGAGCTTAACTTAACTAACCCTAAACTAAACATAACCTCTAACACTAGCTGTAAACCCTAAAACTAAGCCTAACCTACTCCTAGCTGTAAACTGAACCTCAACCCCTAAAGCAAATGAAAGACAAAAATTTATACATCAAATTTCCATTAAAATTTGAGAAAATAACATGGAGTGATTTAAAAATTGTAAAGCACAGAAGGACAGGCAATATTATGGCTAAAAAAGCAGCAAAATAGATAACAATTACCAAAAACACTACACAGAAAACTGAAGATTTTGCAATTCAAACATACTTTGTTTGTGTGTATTTATATGTGCAGGAAGTCTTCTTTGAAAACTTTTAAGATTATCAATAGGAAACCTTAGGTTAGTCTTTCACAATCAGCTTGGAATGGGAAATGCAAAGCCCACATTAATGTGTTAAGGTACAGTGTGATTAATGTGTCTTCTCCATGATTGATCATGCTTATACAGTGGTGGTGCCTGTCTTATGAGGAAGGAATATATATGCCAGAGTTTCAATTTAAGGCTAAGGTAGGAATTTTGGGCCCTTAAAATATTCTCCCAAAGACAGATTTTTTTTACATAGTTCAGTATTTCCTTATTTTGAATGTGTTATCAATGCATATGATTGCATATAATTTTGAGGATGAAGCTCATCCATAAGGTTGGTAAATCCAGAGGGTTCATCAAATTAGCCTACTATCTGACTGCATTAAAAAAGGGATGTGTCATCTTCCAGTACAATTTTTTTCAATAATGGTATAATTATTAATGAAAATGTACATAATATTTAAAAGATAAATGAATTGTGATTCCATTACAATACACAACTAAAAAAACCTCAAAAGGTTCTAATCAAGTATCCCAATAGGTGTTATTAAATCTGAAAATAACCAAAAATTGTTTACACAGCAATTAAGTTTCATTATTCCTTATTTCTGTGTTTCATTTTTGAAACTGTAAAAAATGCTCTACAGCAATACAAATAAACTATTAAACCCATAAAATCAATTACATCTAAGAGGATGATACTTGTATTACTATAGTGTGAGATTTTTCTGAGGTCCCACTGTCTGTTTGGGAACAGGTTGGGGCAGTGGAACAGTAGGAAGGGTAATTATATTCTGTAACTATATTATCATGATTTTTCAAAAGATAACTTTTTTACACTCCTTCATGATAGCATTTTTTCCTCTTCAAAAAGTACCTGAACTTTGGAACAAAATCGTTAATGGACTAAGGAAGGCATGACTCGGTCAAAACACTTTGAAAAAAATAATACCTTTGGGCCATGTCTGTATATATTGTTAAAAGTCATGTCATATACATTTATGATTAGTTTTGTCCATGTTTCATCTATATTGGATCAACATTAATAGGCTGCCATCTGTTACAATATATATGTATAGTATTAACAGGTGCATTTTATAACAAAGATCTGTATTTTTAGTTTTATATGCAAAAGTTCATCCAGTCTTGATTTTTCCTTTATTTAAAAAAAATAATCTAGTGAAAAAGTCATTAAAACTATAGGAATAATTTTCAATACAGTAATCATATATTGTTGGTTTTATACCCTGTAATTAAACTGGTCCTATTATTGTAAGCTACTGTCTGTCTGTCTGTTCACACTTTGTACTATAACTCTAGTTTGCTTTAAATAGTTTTCATGAGTAACAGATAAACAAAATGTAAAGATTGATAGAAAATAGCTCCATTTTGAATTTAAATTCATTTATAGGATTTAAATGATTAAATATAGGGGCTTGACTTAGGGGGTAATTTTCACATGTGTGATAATTTAATAAAAGATTAACTTTATCAGAAATTTTCAACAATCTCCTTTTCCATTTTCCTGATTTCTGACTTGCTGCTCTAGAGTTATGGGTCCTTAATTAAAAATACTTCTGTCCATCCATCAACAATTTTGATGATTACTCAAATTTGATTTGAATGATTATAAAATAGAAATGCTGGAACTCCAATTTGATTTTGACAATTAAGAATTGTCATTTAGGACTTTTTTGCAGTACAAAATGGGGGAGACAATATCTTATATGTTATATAATACTCTACATCAGGTTCAATAATTGGCACGGAAAAGGACATTGATGCCACAATCTATAAATCATTCATTTACTTTTCATGACTTTCTTGTTATTGAATTCTTTCAGATTATATCCATGGGGGAATAGTGAAAATCCCAAGAAAGAACACTGGATGAACATATGGCATGGAGAATTTCCAAAGGAAAATACTGTTGTTGATGGTTATGATTCAACCTGTCCAGTAAGTGTGTCTGTAGCTATTAATCATATATATGCATTTGTTATACATTGTTTATTTCATATTTCAATATATAGTGTGAATTGTGAAATTATTGTGAGGTGTAATAAATGCAAATAATGTGACTGGGTGAGTATTACAATAATGATAACTCGCATTCTGATATCCGATACATATATCTGTATGCAGCTTTTCCTGAAATCGCAATAATTAAGCTCATATTTTTGTCCATTCTTCAAAAATTGCAACAATTTCTGAATTTACAGTAATGAAAATTTCAGAAGTAGGTCAAGTAATTTTTTGTTTGTTTTTAAAACTTGATAGTTCATGATATAGTAAATAAAAGCACAATTATGTTTGCATTTTTTCACAAAATAGGAGTGATAATAGAGAAACAAAGATAGTTTGAAAGCTTTAATAAATTCTAAAATTGTTACGAACCTAAAGCAAATAAATTGACTGGTTTATCATAAGAGTTTACAGAATAATAGAAATACTATTAGAACTACAGTATTTCTTTAGCGGAACTTCTGGAGAAACAATATAAATACATAATTTAACTATATTAAAATGAAATTAACAATATCTGATTGTTATAAAGGTTTTTACATTCTAATGCAATTCTTTTCTCAAAACATAAACAAAAAAGGCACATTTTGTCCCTCAAAATCTTCTTTTTGTCAATATTTAAACCATTCAGAAGCGTACGAAAAGTATAAATATGTCTAATGTTTATGTTTGACATCTGGAGTATCTATGACGTCACATTGTTTAGATGCCAAAGACAATGTAACAGTTTCCTGGACTTTTAATTTGTGGCATTTTTAAGCCAAGCTATTTACTAAAACGGAATTTATTTTAATATGTGGCATAAGAATGGAGATAACTGTATTGTATTTCAAGCTTGGCCTTCGTAAAACTTGTGTCGCTAGGTAAACTTAATTTGCGACAGTAAAATCTACATTTTACAAAGGCCAAGCTTAAAATACAATACAGTTATCTCCTAATTCTAAGCTTTATTTTTGGCTAAATGATAAGACAGTAATAAGAAATGTGTCCAAATTTAAAGGAAAAAAATTACATTTTGAAAAGAAATCGTTCAGAAAAATGTTTACACAATGGATGATAAAATCCAATCTTTACTATATAAAATCAGAATATATATCAATGATAATGATGCCAAGTTGATGATAATTGAGGTTTCAACCAATATAGAGAAAAACCCTAGTTTTAATGAGTACAATACAGGATAATATATTGTTCTATGGAAGACTGCAGAAAAAAACAGAGGTTAAGGAACCTAACCTTGGTGAGAAAACATTTTTTACATCAGAAGGTATATGTTTGTTATGTGAGTGCTATGCAACACAGTTGCATTTGTTTTTTTTTTTATCGTTTCAGGTAACTATGTTTCCAGACCAGAATAAATTTGGCTTGAAAAATATTATAGGGAATGTCTGGGAATGGACAAGTGATTGGTGGGAAACACAACATACACCAGAGTTTAAAGATAATCCTGTATGTAAAATAGGATTCTTCAATTTAAATTTATGACGCTTCTTTTTCCATCCTTCATTTTTGTACTGCCTGTGAAGAAAGTTGCCATAATTGAAACTTTAGCATTTATTTCCCAACAGTGGTGGCAGCACTTACAATTTTGCACATACCTTGATATATCATCCATACTTTTAAAAATCGCCAAAACAATTTTATGGAGATTGTTCATTATTATTTGTCACCTAGTTATTGTCCTTATTTTAATGCTCAGGATTAGGTCTGTCGCCTGTTTTTGTAGATGGAAGTTAAACAATACTAGGTATATGTTCATCTGAAATATGTCATTAACACGACTTCTATTCAAAATTCCAGGATAAACTAGAGGTAAAGTTTTTAGTGTAAGGTCTGTTCCTCAGTAGCTGCATTAACCCAAGGGTTTTATTAGGTATAGAAATATGGTTGTCGCTGGACTTCACCCATCTGGCAGTGAAACCCCTACTAAAAAGGAGCCTTTGTTTGGCTGTATGGATTGTATAAATATGAAGTCACGTAAAGTTGGAATGGGCATTAAATCTCTAATGAAGTAAGATTGCAATGCTCTCAGCAAATTGAAGACCTCTTGCAACATGTGTTTGAGAGTTTGTAGCTGGCGTGTTGCAAGCAAACACTCTGCCCCTATCCAACACACTCTAGTTTTCCAATGTTGGTTGAAATTTCTTACCTTTATACCTATTGGATTCATTTTTAATTTGTTCTTTTCCTGAATATGCATGAAATACTTGCCACTAGAGGTTAAGCAAACAACAATCAATCAGTTTATTACTTCATGTAAACAGTATTTTAAGGTGGATGTAAGTTTCTCTAATTTTTGTGCTATTTTCACATTTCTTGATCGGTGTGAGAAAAATATTTCTCCTCACTAGTGAAATATCTGTTCTCGGCAAACGATTGGTCGAAATTTTATTTTAACGTCAAATTTTTGTGGTTTCTTCTGAATTTCCTATTGTGACGTCATGAAAAAAGGCGACCATGCCTGATGACGTCACATATAACGAACATATCTTTCTTCAAATCTTTGAAAAGGAAGGATAAAAATCATTAGAGAAACAGATTCCACCACTATAACTCGTGTATTACGATATTTCTCCACTCTCAACAGTTAAATTTTAATTATTTAAAAAGCTTGGCAAGCCTCACGCTTTAAAAAATGAAAATTTAACTGTCTCAAGTGTAGAAATATTGTAACACATTTGTTGCAATGGTGAAATCTATATTTTTGAATTAGGTCTATATCTCATATTAAAGTAAACAGTAGATAAGAAATATTTTGTATGTGAATTCATTATGAGAACATGAAAATTTGCAGCTGACATGTCTTATTTGATCTCTACATCGGTTTGTTAGTTGTTGTTTTTGCCTTTAGAATAATTAAAATGTTACAGCAGGTGAGACATTATTTTTTGTCAACTCATATTTGATTTACATTAAGTTAAATGTAAGAACCATATTTCACTGAAGATATAACCTTGGGATACTTTTATTGATTTATACTTGGCTTTCCATTCAATAATTAATTCAGGTAGTTGCCCTAAATGTTTGATGTTCTGCTTAAACCAAAACTCTCAAAAATTGTTTGAAGATAATTAATATAAAAAAAATGCTTTATCAAACATACAAATATTTTCAAACGAATTTTGACTTGTGATATTCAATCATTATTAATGAACCTAGGGTTTTAAGCACCACATATTGAAGTTTATAAAACAGCAGATTGGCCTATATTACGATAGTAAGTTACATTGGCATAGGAAAGATTGCATTACATAATAAAAATGGAAATATATGCTGATGCCAAATTTGATTCGTGCAAAACTAATGCTATTTGAAATAAATCATGACTGCATTTCCATTAGTTAGGAGGGTAAAATATAAATAAATCATTTTGTGCTTAAAAATGATGTTGGTCCTTAACAGAAAAATCCAAACTGCATAAAATAATGCTAGCTACTTTCTATTACCTTAGAAGAAGCAATACTAATGTATGTTAAATTATACCACATGCATGTGAGACCTTCTATGAGACAGTAAGTTCAAACTAAGAATTTCATTAAAAGCCAGATAAAATAAATTAAATACAGTTTAAATCCCGTGTATTTCACATTGTTCTTGTCAACACCAATATTACAAATAAGTACATTACACTTGTTATTCTTGTCCATAGTTTATTAATGCAAAAGAGAGAAACCTTTTTGTTTAGTTATAACAGATTTTTTAATATAATATACTTACAGAAAGGACCATCAAAAGGTACAGATAAAGTAAAGAAAGGGGGATCGTTTATGTGCCATAAGGTATGATTGGTTGAATTATCTAATTAGTATATCTTTCTGAATATGTTTTGAACTTATTTTCACACTGCTAAGTCGATCAAGTTTTTTTAGGATAAGTCTGTACTTCATTTACAATACATTAAATGTAATCAGTCCACCTGCAGTGGTATCAACCTTGTGATAGAAAATGAAGATAACACTTTATTAATTTTGTGCGAAAAATATAACAAAATTATCTGAGGACAAGATTTACAAATTTATGTCAACATGGCAGAAATTGTCAGTTGACTCATTAATTGAGTTATTGCCCTCGAATGATATTTTTTTTATCCATATTAGTGTTTCTTTATGGAAACTATAGAAGATAGAGGGTAACCATAAACAGCCAAAAATGATCAGCAAGATAAAATGTACAAGTAAATTGCTGAAATTGTCAGTCGACTAATAATAGGAGTTAAATGATGTTTTTTCTACGAAATTTCAGTTTTTTTTACCTAACATCTTAAAAACTATCACAAATAGCCTGAAACTTAAGAAATCAAAAATGATAAGCAATTACACAAATTGTACATTGAAAGTAAGCAGTAGTTTTTACATGAATTTTCTTAAAAAGAAAAACAAACACATGTGATAGCTTTCACTTGACCTAGATTGACAGTTTTAGGTCATTAAATCAACCTTGCATCAGGTGAAAAAATGTTTATATGTTACATATTGTATTGTATTGTCTTCAATCATGTAGAATCCGTCTGAAAAAATGATTATAAAAATTGATGACACAAATGACACTCCATAAGACAGAATTTTGCAATGCACTTTTGGTGGTACAAGTGCACCAAAGAAGTACACTAAAACATTGTATTCAAATTATGAAATAAAGAATTATTATCAGAAAAGGACAATATTACAAATACATCCATGAAAAATAAATATGTATTAAATATTTGTATTCATATCAAACTTTTATGTCCATAGTGTGTTCAGTTTTATCATTTTTGCATTAATTTCTGATAATACAATTTTTTTGTTTCAGTCCTACTGTTACAGATATAGGTGTGAAGCTAGAAGTCAGAATACTCCAGATAGTTCAGCATCAAATCTTGGATTCAGATGTGCAGCTGATAAATTACCAAAATATTTAAAAACTTAAGTCTCAATTTGCTCAACTGGTACAGTAGACTCCGGCAAATCGGATACCCAAAATGTCAGCTAAAAATATCCGATTATCCGATATATTCAATTAGAGGATGAATGTATATTGAATATTCTGCAATAATGAGTAGATCTAATCCTGAGATGTTACTAACCCTGACAATTGCTAAATATGTGAAAGGGCTGGAGGATTGATGGAGTGATTATTATCAGTTACATCACCACAATGTTTTTTAAAAAGATTTCAGCTGATTACATAATGATTAAATTTGTTTGCAGTTTTTAAATCCTATATTTATTAAAATAAATTAAATGTCCTGAAAAATGTGAATTATTATCTACCCTCCATAGTTTGTGTCTTCATTTGTTTTGAAAACAAATTAATATCCATTATTTACATTATCACACAGGTAAACTAATTTGGCTATAAATAGATCAAAGCATGTTTGTGTAGAATCTCCAAACTAAAATCGTATTTGTTATAATTTGATTTCTTTAAATAATCAAATTTAAATTGATGAAAATAATCTTGATTGATAAAATATAATTGTATAAAGTTTACATTTTCTGAAGACTATTTATATTTAGGTCATGGTTCTAGAGGCTTCCTCACAAATTTGTAAACAAACCAAAATGGCGGCCATGACATGTGGTTACTTTTGCACATGTGAAAAAAATATTTCTGACAAAAGTCAGATTTCTCTTGTCAAAAGGGATTTATATTTATATTGCAATAAATTATTCAGAAGGAGGTACATTCAGTTTACATTATATTTCTGATTGTGTGAGCATTTGAGTTTTATCAAAATTCTCCAAACAGCATCGTACTGCTCTTGTCAACTGACGAGTCTTGTAAATTCAAACCATTTGAAGTAAAAGGGCATCTAATTCACATGATAAAGGAAGACAATGAATAAAGACAACAATTTATTAAGAAATAGTTCCTTTTTATTTAGTAAAAACGAAATCTTCTTGTCTGCAGGATTGTTAATTCGTAACTTCCGGGTTCATTTCCTGTCAGAAAAACATTGAAAATATCCGATTGTGCATGGTTTTGAACAAAATTACCTGAATATTCTTATCCGATTTGCCGATATATTCTTATATCCGATATTCGATTACCCGATGAAATTACCATTAAACATATAGGGAAGGGTTTGGTGTTTTGAAATAATATTACAATAGCCGATATATTCGTTTAGCCGATATCCGATTAGGTGGAGTCTACTGTACAAATGAACACTTTGAACTATTGCCATTAATAAGTATCCCTTATTTATTGTCCATACACTTTTTACAAATATTCCCCAAATCCATGTGACATTTTTGACGGATAATGTTGGCCTGAATATTTAGGTTGTTTGTTTTCAAATTTATATCTGATGATATTCTGAATTATGATTTTCATTCATATCCATAATTAGGTATAACAATTTCATTCTTTTTGTCTCAAATGTTCAAATCTCTAAACAGAAAGCACAGAGCCTATGACATTGTTATGTTTTATGAGTAATCCTTGGATTGGTCTTTATTAATGTTTTTGTTTTTGCTTTTGGTGCTGAAAAACAATCCAAGATGTCTTCCATTTTTGAACATAGATAAATACAGGACCCATAAGGACATACATGTAAATAGCTTCATCTTGGAAACACACTGGAAAAATTGTATGCATCACCTAAGTCAGAAACCATGAACCAATTAAATACAAGCTTGTCAGATATGTTCCTATGACAATCCCCATGCCTATTTCACCATCAGAGAAATTTTCAAAAAAATTTCAAATTTGTCTAGAAAGAAAGGAACTCATTGTTCAATATAAGTAGAATCATTCTGGAAAGTTTGAAGGCTCTAGATTGAATATTGCAGGAGCTGATTATATTAAATTGTTACCCTCCATTCAAAATGCCACCTAAGGCTAAGAATAAAATGTTAAATTTAATTTCATAATAAAAATTTTGTAAATTATAATTTCCTGAAAGGTTATCATGAATGTTTAGAATGTTTAGTGGACAGCTGATATTTTATTGAAAGCATAAATGTTATTGGGTGCTAATACCATTTTCAATTTCATTTATTTTTTACAAAGTAAGCCATTTGACCGTTTCTAACCATCTTCTATATTTATACTATGCTTGAATTTTAGTCTATCTAGTTTTTTACTCATGATTAATTGTTGCTTGAATGCTTGAGTTATCATATATTTAATATGTATATTATATTAACTCATTGTGCAACTTTACAATTTGGATCTGTGTTTTTACAGGTTGAAGTAAAGTAATTTTGAAATGAAATGCAAAAATACAATTTATCAGGTGTTTTAATGATTAGGATTAATGGGGCCTTGACAATATTATTTGTGGAATATATTTTGTTTGTTTGCAATAAATGTGTAATATTTTTGTAATTGTAAATGTTCTTTGAAGGTTATTGTGTACTTATTTTCCTTTGTTGAATATAAAAATTCAAAAGGATTATATAGGTTTTTTAAACAAGCATTCTGAGAGTATTGCATGGCAATACATAGTCCCCTACCGGGTAAAAATTCATTTTACTGGAACAAAATGCTAACTTGTTCTATAACTTGTCATGGTGTAAACAAAAAGTAAATATCATGTCAATATCTTCAAGCATGACTAAAAACAGTGTGGAAAACTGATTATATGAGTGAAAAAAACATTAGATATGTTTAATAGTTCTCTAAAATTAGATATGATGTAATACAGTGTATATCTATTTTCAAATTATAATCAAATATAATTAATAGTTCCAAATATTTTTTCTTTCATTTGTCACAAACTAATATAGATTTGTAACTTATCTATAAAATGTCAACAACATTTATCTACACAATGTAATGTATTGAAATATATACATTAATAAAAATAGATTATTATCTAATTAAAGGATTTCTCTTCATAAATTTTTCTTTATATATATATAGCATTCAGAAAATTAGTTTATACTAAATAAAAAACAAACCTGCTAAAAAATTCTTCAAATCATTTAACAATGAATGTCTTTTAAAAAATGAGTTATCTCCCTTTGTACAGAAATATGGTTTAACATAGTACTCTAACATTAGATATGGTCCAGAGTTATGCTCCATAACTCTGGACTAAATTATCAGACTGGAACAAAATTCGAACTTGATCTGTAACTTGTCATGATAAAACAATATACCAAATATCAAATCAATATCTTCAAGCATGAAGAAAAAAAGTGTGGAAAGCTGATTTGCCGGACTGACAGAAGGACAGACAGACGGACAGACAGTCGGTCAGACAGACAGACAGACTGAGTGCAAACCTACGGTAGGGGACTTATAACAAGTCTGAATGGTATATATAGCTAGATATCAACTTGAGTTATTTATTTTCAATATAATAAATAAAATGCTCCGCAAGGCGCAGCTTGATATGACCGCAGAGGTCGAACCCTGAACAGTTGGGACAAGTATGGACACAACATTCAAGCTTGATACAGCTCTGAATTTGGATTGTGATTAAATATTTGAAACAGCATAGGTTTCTGACACAGAATGAATGTGGTCTAAGAACTTAAATTTTAAATTGGACATTCACCTATTATGGTCCAATATCCAAAATCTAAATACATGGTTAGATTCAGCATATCAAAGAACCCCAAGAATTCAATTTTTGATGAAATCAAACAAAGTTTAATTTTGGACCCTTTTGACCTCAATGTGGACAAAGTTGATAACGGGGCCCAAAAATCAAAAATCTAAATACATGGTTAGATTCAGCATATCAAAGAACCCCATATATTCAATTTTTGTTGAAATCAAACAAAGTTTAATTTTGGACCCCGATTTGGACCAACTTGAAAACTGGGCCCATAATCAAAAATCTAAATACATGTTTAGATTCAGCATATCAAAGAACCCTAAGAATTCAATTTTTGTTAAAATAAAACTAAGTTTAATTTTGGACTCTTTGGACCTTAATGTAGACCAATTTGAAAATGGAACCAAAAATTAAGAATCTAAATACACGGTTAGATTCGGCATATCAAAGAACCCCAATAATTCAATTTTTGATGAAATCAAACAAAGTTTAATTTTGGACCCTTTGAACCTCAATGTGGACCAATTTGAAAACTGGGCCCAAAATCCAAAAACTTAATACACGGTTAGATTCAGCATATTAAAGAACCCCAAGAATTCAAGAATAAAACCCCATTGAAATTGGTCAAGAAATAAGCAATTTATACGAAGTATCTTCTTTTGCACAATACTGTGCAATTGAATATTTCTTGCTATTGCGCAATACTGTACAATTGACAATTTCTTGCTATTGCGCAATATTGTGCTATTGGATATTTCTTGCTATTGCGCAATACTGTGCAATTGAAGATTTCTTGCTATTGCGCAATACTGTGCTATTGCGCAATACTGTGCAATTGAAAATTTCTTGCTATTGCACAATACTTATTATATAATAATTTACACATCCTGTTTGGTGTGTATCTCCTACCATATCATTATTATTTGCTTTTAAATATAAATCAGAAATAACCAACTTAAAATGGAAAATTTTAAAAGAAAAAAAAAAGGAAAAAAAACCAAAAATCCCCCCCCAAATTTTTTAAACCCCCTTATAATTCATCACCCCCAAACTCAATCCCAGCCTTCCCTTTGTGGTATGGTACCTTGCAGTACAATTTCAGAAAGATCCATACACTTACACACAAGTTATTGTCCTGAAACTAGAAAAATGCTTATTTTTGCCCTTTTTGGCCCCTAATTCCTAAAATATTGTGGCAATTACCCCTATCATCAATCCCAGCCTTCCCTTTGTGGTATGGTACCTTGCAGTACAATTTCAGAGAGATCCATACACTTGAACACAAGTTATTGTCTGGAAACTAGAAAAATGCTTATTTTTGGCCCCCAATTCCTAAACGTTTCGGGCAATTACCCCCAAACTCAATTTCAGCTTTCCCTTTGTGATATGGAACCTTGTAGTACAATTTCAGAAATATCCAAACACTTACACACAAGTTAATATCATGAAACTAAAAAATGCTTGTTTTTTGCCCCTTTTTTTGCCCCTAATTCCTAAAATTTTGAGGCAATTACCCCCAAAATCAATCCCGGCATTCCCTTTGTGATATGGAACCTAATGGTACAATGTCAGAGAGATCAATACACTTACACACAAGTTATTGTCTGGAAGTTACAAAAATGCTTATTTTTGGCCCCTTTTTGGCCCCTAATTCCTTAACTGTTGGTACCATAACCCCCAAAATCAATCCTAACCTTCCTTTTGTGGTATTGAACCTTATGGTAAAATTTCATAGAGATCCATTCACTTAAACTAAATCTGGGACTATTATACTAATTTGTATAATAGTCCCAGACTGAAGTTAGAGTGCGAAAACCAATGTGTCTTCGGACGACGACGACGACAAGTTGTATGATACACTTAAACACAAGTTATTGTCTGGAAACTAGAAAAATGCTTGTTTTTTGGCCCCAAATTCTTAACGTTTAGGGCAATTACCCCCAAACTCAAACCCAGCTTTCCCTTTGTGATATGGAACCTTGCAGTACAATTTCATAAAGATCCATACACTAACACACGTTATTGTCCTGAAACTAGAAAAATGCTTGTTTTTTTGCACTTTTATGGCCCCTAATTACAAAAATTTTGAGGGAATTACCCCCAAAAACAATCCCAGCCTTCCCTTTGTGGTATGGTACCTTGCAGTACAATTTCAGAGAGATCCATACATTTGAACACAAGTTATTGTCTGGAAACTAGAAAAATGCTTATTTTTGGCCCCTTATTCCTAAACGTTTTGGGCAATTACCGCCAAACTCAATTCCAGCTTTCCCTTTGTGATATGGAACCTTGTAGTACAATTTTATAAAGATCCATACACTTACACACAAGTTATTGTCATGAAACTAGAAAAATACTTGTTTTTTGCCCCTTTTTTGCCCCTAATTCCTAAAATTTGGAGGCAATTACCCCCAAAATCAATCCCAGCATTCCCTTTGCGATATGGAACCTTGTGGTACAATGTCAGAGAGATCCATACACTAACACACAAGTTATGTCTGGAAGTTACAAAAATGCTTATTTTTGGCCCCTAATTCCTTAACTGTTGGTACCATAACCCCCAAAATCAATCCCAACCTTCCTTTTGTGGTATTGAACCTTATGGTAAAATTTCATAGAGATCCATTCACTTAAACTAAAGTTAGAGTGCGAAAACCAATGTGTCTTCGGACGACGACGACGACGACGACAACGACGAAGACGAAGACGACGACGACGCCGACGCCAACGTCATACCAATATACGACCAAAAAATTTTAAATTTTTGCGGTCGTATAAAAATGTGAGACATTAGTATTGCTTCATGTCATAGTGCTCATTATTCAGAAGACCGACACGGTTACTGATTTATTATTCTGCAAGTAGTTAAGTGATTCCGAACTTAAATTATTAGTTTATACCCCTGTCATATTATTGTACTGAGAATGGCTAATGCATTTGGAAATAGAGGTTTACTTAGAATAGATGGTCATACAGAATAAACTAGAGGCTCATCATACACTTTATATTAATTAATTGGTGGCTACTGAAGTTTTAGCAGAATGGCAGTGTTTTATACTCAGATTATGAGCAGAAGTAAATGAACAAACGTAAACCGTTTTCAGTTACAAGGTGCTGATCTCTTATTCTAATGTTTGTACCGAACAAGGTAACCTTTTGAAGTGCACCTTGGCTTAGTTTGTGACATTGAGTATTTGCTGTCCTTCAACATATGGTTCTTCTTGTGTTGAGATTACTGATAGCGTTTTGCATAAAGGGCACTAGTAGCAGTTTCATTCACATCCCACTTGTCATCGTCTATCATCTTTCGATTGTATTGTTAGAAGTTTTAACAGTTCTCTTAATTCGTGTCACTAATGTGTATATAAAGGGAGTTTATGGATATATGGTTGAAAATGTTCGATACGAAAGTCATTTCAAATAAAAGATTTAAACAAGATTAACATGCAATGGCGCTTTGATCGTCATTCTTCATCTCAAAGTCACAGTGAGACTTTACGACGTGTAAATTGAATACTTGCACCTTGTTGTAAGTTAAGGACGTCCCCTGGAACCAGTATGTGTATGGCTTTACTTTCTGTTTTCAAAGCTGACTGCATATGGATTAATTTTAAGGTTTGAGTTTTGGGATGAGTTTTGGGAAGTCTTAAGGTTTGTTTTGTTTCTGTATGGTAACTTCCATTATTCAGGTCAAGTATGACTTTGTTTTATATCTACTTCACCCCAATACTTAACCGAACCCTAATCTATTTGAGCACATCTTAATTATGATAGCATCATATCACAAGTAAAGAAAATCAAACTAAATTAGCATTGTTTACAAATAACTCTTTTAATAGCAGTGATTCAGCTGTAAATCATTTACATCTATTTTATATAAAAGCGCAAAAAAATCAGCAAAATTAGTCAACAAAATGCCTCATCTTAAAAAAATAAAATCTAAAAGAAAGCCATGGTTCCCGGACTCTTGTAATGATTTGCGCAACACGGTTAAAAGTTACGGAAAATTGGTTAACAAATTTCCATACAATAACACTTACAGAAAATCTTTCTACTCCTGTCGCTCGAAGTATAGAAGAGCTTGTAAAAAGGAAGAAAGATCATACAAAAATAAAATATGTTCCGAAATAAGTGCAAATGTCAATAAAGACCCGAAAACATTTTGGAATCTTTTACAAAATTAAGTAGATCTTGTAACAATGAAAATTCTGAACATTTGGCACAAGATGAATTTATAAGTTATTATAAGAAACTAAACAAAACTGACCAGTCAAGAGTTTAACCCATTTCAAGAAAAAATTCTCAAAAATTTTGAAACATTATTTGGTGATCTTCAAAAATACAACAGGACAGATGACTTGCAGAAACACATTAAAACAAGTGAGATTGTAAAGGCAATCAAGTCCCTTAAAAATGAGAAAAGCACTGCTACTGATCTCATTTCAAATGAAATGTTGAAAAATGGTATATCAGTCTTAACAAAACCATTACAAAAGCTCTTTAACTTTATAGTAAATACCTGAAGTTTTCCAAAAGCTTGGAATGAATCATTTTTAGTACTTCTTCATAAAAAGGGAAGTAAAAGCGACCCTGGTAATTATAGCGGTATATCAATTACTTCGAACCTGGGAAAATTTCTTAATAAAATAATCCTCTCTCGCATACTCGCTCATATAACTGTTAACAAATTAATAAGCAATAACCGGATTGGCTTCAAAGAAAAAGTTCGAACTGCAGACCACATCTTTTCCTTGAAATCTATTTTCAGCAATTATAAATCCAAAAACAAATGATATTTGCTGCTTTCATTGATCTTAGAAAAGCATTCGATACAATCTGGAGAATAGGTTTATTTCATAAACTACTTCAAAGTAATGTACCAAAACATATTTTTAATATTATATTTTCAATGTACTCAAATACAAAATGTAGAATTAAATTTTCGAATGGTCTTAGCCCATCATTTCAATCAAACTGTGGCGTTAAACAAGTCCTCTTCTTTTTATTTTTTTTATAAATGACATACTTAAAGACTTGGAAAATATCAATGCAGATCCAGTTGTAGTTGATGTTTCATTAAATGCTCTGTTGTATGCCGATGGTATTGTATTGTTATCAGATAGCAAAGAAGGTTTGCAAAGTTGTCTCAATACACTAAGTAATTATTGTTCTTCTTGGAAATTACAAGTAAATAAAGACACTGATACCTATGAAAAGTTACATATAAAATTCATTAAAGAAATCTTGGGAGACCACTGTAAGGCCTCGAATGATGCATGTCGTTCCGAACTTGCCAGGCTGCCATTAAAAAATAGGATAATGTTATTCAGCATTAAATTCTGGGACCATTTAATCACTTCAGAAGGAAGTCTAGTTCACCAAATATATAATGCTACAAAAATGAGCAACCCTTGGGTTAAAAGGTTAAATATTATTATTCAAAATTTAGGTTTATCATATTTGTCAAACGTTAAACCCACTATTCAACCCCTTTTTGGTTTTATAAAACAAAGAATAATTGACCAGGGTTTTCAAGAACAACATGCAAATATTTCAGCATCTCCAAAATTAACATTTTTCCAGAGTGTTTACAAAATGAGTGAACGTGCAGCTTATGTTGATGCTTTAAGAAATAGATCAGATCGATCATCATTGTGTAAATTAAGAGTTAGTGCTCATAACCTTGCCATTGAAAGAAGAAGATATCTAAAAGTGCCCAGGGGTCAAAGAATTTGTGAAATCTGTAAAAGTGGCGAAATTGAAAATGAACAGCACATGCTAGTCCAGGCATGGGGCGAATTACATTGCAATGTAATGCATTACATTACAATTACTTTGACAAAACCATGCATTAAATTACAATTACAATTACATGCATTTATCAAAGTAATGCATTGAATTACAATTACTTTTGCAAAGCAATGCATTGAATTACACATTACATTTGTAAATTTTATTATCAAGTGAAAAGAAAAATCAAGCATTTTGAAAAAACAACATGAAATCACAAAAGATTCTAGCATATCTTGGCTTTAGTATGAATAAGTTTAGAAGAGAGATGTTTTCTGCTTGGAATGTTAAATTTTGGGTCAAGTTTTTAACAACATTCTTGAAGTTTTGGCTATCAATTGTAGCAAACAGAAGTAAATCACCAGCAATATACTGAATTGCATCTGTAGCCTCCTTTTGCTTAGGATCATCCCAATGATATTTCGGACTACCTGACTGTTTCACAAAACTTATCAAAGTTGGTTGCTCTTCTATCTTTGATTTTAAAGTTTCAATATATAATACATCTCTGTGTTTCTCTAAAAAGAAGTGACAGAGATGAAGTTTAATCTTCATTTTAACTTAATGTTAACTTTTCTTTTATAGATATACATTTGTTTTTGTTTTTTTTTTAATTTCAATCAAAATATTTACTGAGAAATTCTTTCCTAATTATAAAATAAACACAGAACTTAATTTATGACCAAATGTTGTTGATTGTAAAACAAACTAATTAGTGTTTTATGACAATGTTCAATAATCTGTTATTTAATTATGACAAGGTACTCTCTGATCTTTGACAACAATGGAACACTTTTACAGTAATGCTTTTCAAATATCAATCTTTTTATGCAGGAAAATATATGAAATAAAATGAAATAAAAAAACTAAGTAAGAGAATGATAATCCCATTCTTTATTATGATTAAGTACAAGTGGGTAAAGTGTGAAAAATAAATAGAAAATCAATATTCATATGATAATTTTTTAGTTAATCAAGAAATCTTATATTCTGCTTTTGTTAAATATCAAACAATCTGTTAAAAGATATATATATGGTATCAGAAAAAAAGTAATGCCATGTAATGTAATGTAATGCATGAAATTACACAACTTTTTGCTAAAGTAATGCATTAAATTACAATTACATGTAATGCTAAAATTGCTGAATTACACATTACATGCAATTACTTGGAAAAATGTAATGCATTACCATGCATTACAATTACAAATTTGCATTACCCCATGCCTGCATGCTACTACACTGTAGAGGGTACTCCAGTATCAGAGTGACTTTTGAATTCAAAATGTCCAAAATTACAGAAAAAAGTATAACCCCCTTGTGCGATAAATATAAAATAAAGCTTATATTTAATAATAAATCTTACACGGCACTAAAACTATCTTCCTCTTTCGTAACAAATTGTTTAAATGCGAAAAGTAATCTATTGCAATAGATTTTCATTATACATGTATTTTATATTCACATAATTGTTTGTATTTTACTACCATGTTTATCCATTCGGTCGTTACCATTTATTGTAAATACGTAGTCTCAGGTTTATGCCAATAAAATATTGTCATATTATTGTCATTGTCATTGCTTGTGTATTATTAAAACTGTTTTTTAAGTATCAAAAACTCAATCAAAACAATTTTTGGATGTCCTACATGCACTTTCCTGATAGTTCCACCTCATCTTAACCTTTTGTTACATAAATGTGGTAATCAAGATGTCGCCATTTCTAAATACAGAGCCATACACATAATTCATGTCAATCATTCCGAAATCCTAGAGGTGAAAGACATCCTCCGAGCTTCTTAAGCAAATACGGTTCGATCCGGAATTGGAACCTATCCGTATAAAAATTGTAGATAAATAGATTTATATATGCGCGCGCAATCGACCGCCTACCGAGGTTAGTATAAAGTCTCTTCCATTCGTTATATGTGTCATTAGCCGACCGTGCAAGGGCTGTATAGCCAGTCAAGGTCGTTAAAAACTTCCATTTGTTGTTGTATGTGTCATTTAAACATTCGGGTGTTTTAAGAAAAATACTAAAGAAAATGGATCAAGCAACGAGAAGCAAAGTTATGCATTCACACCAGATACTTGTGATTTTCAATATCAAGCTCTTCCTTATATGCTGAGAGACAATGCCAAAATATTTCCAGATCGTGAGGCTATTGTTTTCCTATCAACAACCGGAGAAAGAACTTTCATTAAATATCAAGAACTTTACGATCAAGCAAAATTCTTCGCTAAAGGACTTTTGGAGACGGGAATAAAAAGAAACGATGTTGTCGCGATTTCGAACAAAAACTGTGTAAAATGGGTTATCAGTTCACTGGGAGTACAAATGACAGGTGCAATGCCATTACATTTCTTTTTTAAGCGTCTGGACGGATCTGATTTACTGGAGACACTCCACGGAATTCAAAAATGTACAACATTAATTATCTAGTACTGCAACAAGAGTTCATTTTTTAAAACTTTAATGTTCCGGAAGAACACACACCTAAATTATATATCGATGTAAAGAGGAAAATGTCTACAATAAGAAAAGTTTGGTCGTAATAACCCAGAGTGGTCACATTTTTGTGAAATTAGGGCCAAAGATCAAGCCTGAAAATATCATAAATTTAACCATGAGGTAAAAAACGAGAAATTTTCTAATATATATTCATTAGAATGCTACAAAAAAGATTAAATCACAAGCATATGATTCAAAGGATGTCAAAACGACAAACTTGACTAGTTATATAAAGGGCTGCCATTACAAAATGGCGTTAATCTTGAACCTTCTGAATTTTCCCTATTTATGACATAGCAAATGTAGACGTGGCCTTGACCTTTTCACACCCATTAACTTTCATATTGCTGATAATTTTTTACAATAGCGTATAATAGAAGTATTTTCTAAATTGAAAAACACCAGTTTATCAAATTATTTCAATAATTTTTCTCTCTTTAAAAAAAACAAATTCAAGCGCTGAAACTTTAATTTTGCATCCAAAATGTTTTTATTTTTTGAAGATAATTATCTGGCTATAGATAAATAAATATTGTGTACTAGTATTAACAAAGTCGGACAGATTAGTTATAACACAAAAACTATCATAGTCAACCGAGGCGAATGCGAGGTATAAGAAAAATCATAGGTGTGACTTGCATTGATTAAGCGGTTGGTTAAGTGGTTTCTTAATGGGATTATCCTGATAATGTGTAGACTCGTCAATTTTTTTAGGAAATTATAGATAATAATGCTAGTTTGAACCATATATAACTTGTCTTTGAAAAGCTACATTCAAAAGATCTAGTCTTCAATAGATAGGGATAAACTGCATGTAAAAAAATCTAAACGTTACAGTGGGAAAGTGTTTACAAGAATCGTAGCTATGGGTCAATCTCTTCGTCATCGTTTGCTGATTCAGTACGCGTATTAGCTTTACAGCACGCTTCACGTCCTTGACACGGACAAAGTTCAGTGCATGACAGATTTTGTTCTTAGCAAACACAGCTTTTTGAGCACAAAGATTTACCTTTGCAGGTACAAACTTAATCTTGTAGGTAATCAAATGACATTTGTCCCTTAAAAAGGTTGGGGTTAATCCATGTGTGTCTTCCCAGCCGAAGTCTAAAGGAGACTGCTTTGATGGCTGTGCAATTTTTGAAGAAGTCCAAATAGTGGTCTGAAGTAAAGCTCTCATGACAGGTTGCAGGAAAATTGATTCGCATGGTGGTAGTTTGGCTAAGCTAGCGTCTTTTTGATGAGCTTTCTTTATACTGAGTTTATTTAAATAACTGTTGTCAAATTAAGCTTTCCGTTTCTGGTCATAGAGCCTTGCAACATAAGCCCGACTGACATCAACAGATTTATCAATGTCATCGCTTAAAAGATTGTCTAAATCAACAAAGTCTCCGAGATTGTCCTTTAAAACTTTGTAAACTGTTTTTTCCCCGATTCCGAAAAATGATGAAGTGGTATCACAACCTGTTAAAGCATGAACAGCAGGTTAAACTTTACACAAGACAGGGTTCAACACACTGTATCATTCAGGCCTGAATTCAGAAAAAGTGCATTTATATCCAGTCTAAAAGGGAATAACCTTTTCTAACTTAACAGGAAAGTTACCAAGATCTCTTGACATGGAGCGCAAAATTACCCAAAGAATCTCCGGTGTGTTTTCCATTTTTCAGCACATTTCGAAATATTATTGAAAGCATTCGGAACACGAACAGGAACTCATCTTAACTTTGGTTCAATGAAAGGTAAAACAGCCGTCAAAGATGATGCACTGTCAGTCAACTGAAACGTTCTATCTTGACCTCTCTTTACCTTATTCTGACGAAAATTCGAAACAATTGTGGACTAACAAACCTGAAAGACTGAAAGTTGTGCCATTGAATGAAACGTGTCCTTACCATCAATTGTCTACAAGTTGAGGTCTATATTGTCAACACCTTCTTCTATCTATTGTGTGATTTTTCATCAATCAACCAACAAATGAACTTAAGAAGCGATGCGGGCATCTTTTCCATAGAAGCACCCAGCGAGGCTTCATTGGCACTAGGGAAGTCATCAGAGGAAATAGCGGTAACGGCAGAGTAAAGTAATTGGTCTTCATTTAATATATCTTTAATATATGCAGACACACCTTGCTGTAATTATGAAAGTCTTAACATAGACTTCAATTTTCCTACAGCACATATGGCATCCCCTATAGTAAGGTCAGAGCTAAACACTATATTTGATATCCCTTGTCCCCGCTGTGTCTGAATTCTAATTGAGCTACCATAATATCCAATTAATTTGTTCTGAAGTTTTGCAGATTGGTATGTATCGCAGACATGTTTGGGTAAAAGTGATCGGTATATGTCAAGGATGTGCGACATAAGAAAGAACTTTTTGTGGAAGAACAGATCACCATTATCAATTGTTATTAATGACTTGAAAGCAAGTTCATGTTCTGATTCTTCAGTTACTGTATTGCCTGATTGCACAGGAGTTGACTTTAATAAATATTTGGTTATAAATGCTGAATGGTAGGCTGCATTTGAAAAAAAATCTGTATTAGCGATTATCTTTACCATGGATAAATCATTACTCACATTAGCGCACCTCAAAAGACTATCAACACGTTCACGCGACTCGGTTTTGTGCAGTTTTCTGTCCTTTATAAAGTTTTTATTTTTACACAAAAAACATTTTTTCATATCTTAACTACAAGGAGGAAATTGAGCGCGAGTTCGTATAAAAGTATAAGGTTGTGAGAATACTTGTGGATCAGATTGATCACTTATTATTTGGCTTTCTGTTTCTAATTTGAAGAATCTACAATTTTGCCTGCTAGTGAATGTCTTGTAACATGCCCGATGATACACAACTCTTTCATCCACGGAAAGCAGATTATCAAGAGAAGTTAGTTGTTGTTTCACCATGTCGCACACCAAATCTCTGCGTACATCCATAGTTTCAATTAAACTTTTTTCCCGACCGCTCGCATTCATATTAATTGCTCTGATGTTGAACATTGACACACAATGCATTTTCCGCACACAATGTCATTCTTTCTGCTTTTGGGACTATTAAGAGTAAACTTCACCATAACTAGCCATTATTCGGAAATAATCGTATCCAAAGGATTCGGGTAAACTTTTATTAAAAGTCAAAATCTAATCGACAAAAATATAACTTATTTACAGGAAATACACAAAAAAACTACTATATAAAATCAAATCACACTTCAAAATACTCAAAAATAATCAACTTATAAAAGATAATGCACAAAATTATATCGAAACTGTGGAGCAAAACGACCTTTGTGACTATAAATGATGGAACTGATTGACGGATATGTAATTTCCGTAATGAAAACAAGGTACAAGTGATGTTTTTATTTGCAGTTTTTGTCATAACTATTTGGAATTTGCCAATAAAAATTTGCATGCAGTGTAACAATAATATATTCTTTCCTCTCAAATGATAAGTACTGCTTTTGAATCGTATGTTTTCTCGTTTTCAAAGAAAAATTCGTTAAATTTCCACCTAAAAAACTGCCAACTTTAAGTTTAAATATTTTATTCGGGGATGGTATTATATTTATGTCTTCATCATTCCGATGATCCTTGATGATATGTGTATCGAAAATAATTACGAACAGATCCTGAAATTGAACAAAACTTTTTTTATTTTAATTTTAAGGCGACTTCCCAAAACCGTTAATTGAGGGGCACCCCATAAACAGGCTAAAATACAAAAATGTGACCAAAGAAACTTTTTACGACCAGACGGAAATTAAAAAATAGATATTTTTCTATCATTTAAAACAATTTCCAGCCGTGTGTTATTCCGGAACATTAAACTCGTTAATTAAGCGTCTTTTTCGAGGTCAGTTGCAGTACTAATCGACCCGGGTCATCAGGACAAAAATGTTGACATATGCAGAAAGTTGGCATGTAATTTTCAACCAGAAGTAAGTGGTTCCATATCAAGTAAGGTTTTGGTGGATTTATACCAGGTCTTGCTGCTGCAATCTTCTGACAACGGAATAAAATGTTCTTCTGTTGCCGACATTGTAGAAAGGGGGAGAATTTCAATTATCACCCTTCCTTTAATATCACCAGATGACATTGCAGCAATTTTTCTTACTTCTGGTAGTACTGGAATCCCAAAGGCAGTTCCTCAAACACATCTATCGTTGGTACGAAATTTGCATGGTGTTGGAAAACACCTGGAGCTTGACCCTGGCGCAAGACTTTACAACGATCGTCCCTTTAGCTGGACCGGTGGTTACCCTGGTGTATACATAGTTCACAAGACCACGCGAATTACTGCAAGTGATGTAATGGCCTTAAAAACGATTGACGATATAAACAGATTCACTGCAAGAGCGCTTGAATCAGAAAATTGTACTGCGGCGCTAATAACTACCCCTTGTTTACATGATATGATGTATACCAAATTGCCATAATGTAAGCAATGGCCATTAAAAGTAATTGGAACGGGAGGTTCGCCAGTAGAATCTTCATGTACTAGTGCAGCTGGAGTTATTGCTAACAAGGTTGTTGTGATGTATGGAACAACTGAATTTGGACTTGCCTCCGCCATACAAGTTTCTAATCCAAAAGAATTTGAGGATTACGCAATTGGATATCCAACTCCAGGGGTTGAACTGAAAATAGTCGATGATGATGGAAACATCGTACCAAAAGGAACTTCCGGAGAACTATACTTCCGCAGCAGAGATCGTTTTCATGGTTACTTGAATAATAAGGAAAAAAGTGCCTTATGTTCTGATAAAGCCGGATGGTATAAAACTGATGACATTGGAGTAATGAGAGAAAATGGTATCTTTATTGTCAAAGGGCGCAAATCCGATATGATGATTATTGGTGGACTTCTAGTAACCCACTTGTATGTTGAAAACATCATTAAAAAGCACCCTAATGTCATTGACGCTTATGTCTATCCAGTTCATGATGATAAAATGTTTCAACGTGTATATGCAGCCGTTGTTGTTCAACCAGAAGGGGCACTAAGTGATGAAGCTATAAGAAATTATATTGTACAACAGCAATCTGGAAACCTAGATTCATTTCTTGAAAAACTTTACATTCCAGAGCACTTTTTCTTTTACAAAGAACTACCACACACCCGTAATGGAAAGTTAGACCAAAAAGCCACTGCTTTGATGATTAAATCAACTAAAGAGAGTAAATCAAACTGACTTATACCCACAGAGATAGTCTCAAGATTATTTGTATCATTATATTTTTAATATTCATTAAATACCCCTTACTTAAGATGCTTTGATTTTTATTTTACAATGGGGCGACATATAGTTTGTTTAATCTTTATCACTCTATTCGGATCACCTGAACGTCTACGTCGGGTTACATATCATATCTTGCTCGGATTAATGTTTTTTTTTTCTGTTACAATTTATAAAAATACTACATCAAGAAGCTTAATAGAAATTTAACACGTCACATGAAGATATGTGTAGTGATCGAAAATACTTGATGGCTGTTGTAACCATTCATATTATAGCAATGCTGTGAATTTTGCGTTTGTCTTACAAAGATCTAACCCCCCCCCCCCCCCCCCCCCACACACACACACACGCACTTAGCCCTGGAAAAACGAAAGCTGTCATATTTATATGGTGTGGCACTTATTGTTTTATAAAATGGCCACCGAACCATGGAATTGGGAAAAATTACAAAGCATCTTCCATATTTGGTGAAAGTTTTTAAAAATGTCTCACCTTAGTTAATATTTTTCAGTATTTTCATGTGGTCAAAAGTTTTCCTACATCTCTTGATTTCTACTGCAGTTTTCTCGTAACCTCATATATGAGACATATTTTGAGGTAATACATATTTGATCATTTTACTTAGCGGAGTCCCTAAAATATGAATTGTTATGACGTAACTTGAAGTAAACAAAATGCTCGAAACACCAGTATTCGATTGGTTGAAATCGGAGTCTGAGAACGATGATCCCACAAAACACAAAAACGTTCAGGAAATGTTCCTGGAACGTTTGTTTCGTTGTGAAAACGTTGTGATTTAACGTTGTGGGAACATTAAAGTGTGGACTTCCAGTAACGTTATAAGAACGTTATGAATAAAATGCTTCGCTGGGCGCAGCTTGATACGACCGCAGAGGTCGAACCCTGAACAGTTGGGGCAAGTATGGACACAACATTCAAGCTTGATACAGCTCTGAATTTGGATTGTGATTAAATATTTGACACAGCATAGGTTTCTGACACAGAAAGAATGTGGTCTAAGAACTTCAATTTTTTTAATTTACCTATTATGGTCCAATGTCCAAAATCAAAATACATGGCTAGATTCAGCATATCAAAGAACCCCATATATTCAATTTTTGTTGAAATCAAACAAAGTTTAATTTTGGACCCCAACTTGGACCAACTTGAAAACTGGTCCCATAATCAAAAATCTAAACACATGTTTAGATTCAGCATATCAAAGAACCCCAAAAATTCAATTTTTGTTAAAATCAAACTAAGTTTAATTTTGGACCCTTTGGACCTTAATGTAGACCAATTTCAAAAACGGGACCCAAAATTAAAAATCTAAAAACACGGTTAGATTTGGCATATCAAAGAACCCCAATAATTAAATTTTTGATGAAATCAAACAAAGTTTAATTTTGGACCCTTTTGACCTCAATATGAACCAATTTGATAGCGGGCCCACAAATAAAAAATCTAAATACATGGTAAGATTCAGCATATCAAAGAACCCCATATATTCAATTTTTGTTGAAATCAAACAAAGTTTAATTTTGGACCCCAATTTGGACCAACTTGAAAACTGGGCCAAAAATCTAAAATCTAAATACATGTTTAGATTCAGCATATCAAAGAACCCCATATATTCAATTTTTGTTGAAATCAAACAAAGTTTAATTTTGGACCCCAATTTGGACCAACTTGAAAACTGGGCCAAAAATCTAAAATCTAAATACATGTTTAGATTCAGCATATCAAAGAACCCCATATATTCAATTTTTGTTGAAATCAAACAAAGTTTAATTTTGGACCCCAACTTGGACCAACTTGAAAACTGGGCCCATAATAAAAAATCTAAACACATGTTTAGATTCAGCATATCAAAAGAACCCCAAGAATTCAATTTTTGTTAAAATCAAACTAAGTTTAATTTTGGAACCCTTTGGACCTTAATGTAGACCAATTTAAAAACGGGACCCAAAATTAAAAATCTAAATACACGGTTAGATTTGGCATATCAAAGAACCCCAATAATTCAATTTTTGATGAAATCAAACAAAGTTAAATTTTGGACCCTTTTGACCTCAATATGAACCAATTTGATAGCGGTTCCACAAATAAAAAATCTAAATACATGGTTAGATTCAGCATATCAAAGAACCCCAAGAATTCAATTTTTGATGAAATCAAACAAAGTTTAATTTTGGACCCTTTTGACCTCAATGTGGACAAAGTTGATAACGGGGCCCAAAAATCAAAAATCTAAATACATGGTTAGATTCAGCATATCAAAGAACCCCATATATTCAATTTTTGTTGAAATCAAACAAAGTTTAATTTTGGACCCCGATTTGGACCAACTTGAAAACTGGGCCCATAATCAAAAATCTAAATACATGTTTAGATTCAGCATATCAAAGAACCCTAAAAATTCAATTTTTGTTAAAATCAAACTAAGTTTAATTTTGGACCCTTTTGACCTTAATGTAGACCAATTTGAAAACGGAACCAAAAATTAAAAATCTAAATACACGGTTAGATTCGGCATATCAAAGAACCCCAATAATTCAATTTTTGATGAAATCAAACAAAGTTAAATTTTGGACCCTTTGGACCTCAGTGTGGACCAATTTAAAAACGGGGCCCAAAATCCAAAAACTTAATACACGGTTAGATTCAGCATATTAAAGAACCCCAAGAATTCAAGAATAAAACCCCATTGAAATTGATCAAGAAATAAGCAATTTATACGAAGTATCTTCTTTTGCACAATACTGTGCAATTGAATATTTCTTGCTATTGTGCAATACTGTACAATTGACAATTTCTTGCTATTGCGCAATATTGTGCTATTGGATATTTCTTGCTATTGCGCAATACTGTGCAATTGAAGATTTTTTGCTATTGCGCAATACTGTGCAATTGAAGATTTCTTGCAATTGTGCAATACTGTGCAATTAAAAATTTCTTGCTATTGCACAATACTTATTATATAATAATTTACACATCCTGTTTGGTGTGTATCTCCTACCATATCATTATTATTTGCTTTTAAATATTAATCAGAAATAACCAAATTAAATTGAAAATTTTAAAAGAAAAAAAAAAAGGAAAAAAAGAAAAAAAAGGAAAAAAAAAATCCCCCCCCCAATTTTTTGACCCCCCTTATGATTCATCACCCCCAAACTCAATCCCAGCCTTCCCTTTGTGGTATGGTACCTTGCAGTACAATTTCAGAGAGATCCATACACTTGAACACAAGTTATTGTCTGGAAACTAGAAAAATGCTTATTTTTGGCCCCTTTTTGGCCCCCAATTCCTAAACGTTTCGGGCAATTACCCCCAAACTCAATTCCAGCTTTCCCTTTGTGATATGGAACCTTGTAGTACAATTTCAGAAATATCCAAACACTTACACACAAGTTATTGTCATGAAACTAGAAAAATGCTTGTTTTTTGCCCCTTTTTTGGCCCCTAATTCCTAAAATTTTGAGGCAATTACCCCCAAAATCAATTACAGCCTTCCCTTTGTGATATGGAACCTTGTGGTACAATGTCAGAGAGATCCATATACTTACACACAAGTTATTGTCTTGAAGTTACAAAAATGCTTATTTTTGGCCCCTAATTCCTTAACTGTTGGTACCATAACCCCCAAAATCAATCCCAACCTTCCTTTCGTGGTATTGAACCTTATGGTAAAATTTCATGGAGATCCATTCACTTAAACTAAAGTTAGAGTGCGAAAACCAATGTGTCTTCGGACGACGCCGGACGACGCCAGACGACGACGACGACGACGACGACGACGACGACGCCAACGTCATACCAATATACGACCAAAAAATTTTCAATTTTTGCGGTCGTATAAAAACTAATCTGGAACCTTAATAGAGTCTTGTGTAACCAATCTGGAACCTTGATAGAACCTTGTGTAACCAATCTGGAACCTTCATAGAACTTGTGTAACCAATCTGGAACCTTGATAGAACCGTGTGTAACCAATCTGGAGCCTTAATAGAACCGTGTGTAACCAATCTGGAACCTTTATAGAACCTTGTGTAACCAATCTGGAACCTAAACAGAACCTTGTGTTGCCAATCTGGAACCCAAATTTAACCTAGTCCCAGACAACATTTGTACGTTGGCACAACAATGGCCCAACGTATCTACATTCATTGGCCCAACGTTGTTTTTAGACGTTGGCCCAATGTATAAGTGCAAAGTGGCCCTATATTGACCCAACGTGATGGCTAAACATTGGCACAACGTTGTAAGGTTTTATACAATACATAGGTCCAACATTGGCCCAATGATGGAATAATACGGCCGATGTTGAACAAACGTTGGCACTCCGTTGGTTCAATTTGTAAACTTTTCGATCCATATGAAGGATGCTAAAATCCCTTCCAAGCAACAACTGAAATAATTCCTGTTTTTACATCAGTTCAAAATTGCGAAAGTATTAGTTTTATAAAATGTTACAATTATTGCGTTTTAAGGATCCACTGTTGTTATACCATTTTGTTTAAATTTCTTACATACTACCCTGACAATTTGGTATTTTGCCGTTTTCTCTCCATCTTTCTGAACATGCATGAAAAATTTGCCACTGGACGTTTAAGCAACCAACAATCAATCAATCTTTCTCTCCAGGAATTGTACTTTAGAATTTTACCCATATTTGAATGAATGAATTCAATCAACACATCTATGTTACCTATTTTTCTTAAATAATGAACACAAAGGTATGTATCTACACGTTAAATCAGATCTAGAATGAAAATTATAAAGTCTATTTATGATAATTCATTACTGTATATGTAATTCACTTCATACAGTTATTTTCCTAGTTCTGTATTTTAACATGGTTTTTATTTTTAAGAGTGTTCCTTTTGTTTTCTGCTACACTTTCGTTTGTCACTATTTCGGACTCCGTCTTATGTTTAATTCTTATCCAGTAT